CTGCAATTCATGGGTCCAAAAAGCATGTCCCAGAAGGTCTGCAATAATGAATCGTTCAATAGATACTCTTTCCATTGTGCTAGTTTTGACCGACCGCCCTCACTAAACCGTCAATACAATTGAACTGAGCCGTTATCAGAGGAATGTTTTGAGTGATCGTGAGTAAACAGCTAATTAGCATACATTCCGACGGGTATAAAAGGCTCTTGAATGGGTCAGAGACCATACTAGAAGAACCAGAATGGCCTCAGTTCCTCCTGGCGACATCAACACTCAGCCCAACTCGAAGATCGTCTTCAACGCGCCGTACGACGACAAGCACACCTACCACATCAAGATCATCAACGCTTCCGGCCGACGTATCGGATGGGCCATCAAGACCACCAACATGAGAGACTTGGTGTGGATCCTGCCTGTGGTGTGCTCGACCCCAAGGAGGCCACCCTTATGGCTGTCTCCTGTGATGTGTTCGACTACGGACGTGAGGTAAGATCAGCTCGTCTACCCAGCTGTTGGCGGAGCCATGCATATCCTTTACAGGACACCAACAACGACCGTATCACTGTCGAATGGTGCAACACTCCTGACGGAGCTGCCAAGCAATTCCGTCGTGAATGGTTCCAAGGAGATGGTATGGTCCGAAGAAAGAACCTTCCTATCGAGTACAATCCCTGAAATCCCTGAAAGGACCCCTTTAATAAATTAGTTTAGCTGTTCGTGTTCTTCATGTTAGACGTACCTTTTTCTGAGGCGTCATCACTGAGAAACATGTATTTGACGACATAGCCGAGGCTGAGTGTGAAAATCTGAGTGATCGGCTGAGCATCAGTCAGAAGTTGTTCGCTTTGGCAGAGCTCTTCGCAAGGAATGTTTGTGAAGACGAACATCACACCTGCTTCACCAGATTGAATTTGATAGTCGTTGGCGCAAGAGTACTGAAAAAATGGCTTGAAGGCAACGACCACATTTTGCGTTGTGAAAGGTGGCGAAACTCGGAGTTGGGTCTTTAATCGACTCCATCATGCTGCAAAGATGAGCTTCGTGCTGGCTTCTTTCTTGCCTTCAAGAGGTATGGGCCAGGAATTCGTGACTGCGGACAGCACCCTGGAACTGGGTCATCAAGCGCGGCTGAGTGAATGCTCATATTCATCGGGTCTCGTGGTGAAGCGTGTGAAGGAATTCACGCGCAGGCAAATTGAGTCGCCTTCCAGAATCAATTTCGGCGGCCTCGCTCATGTCCTGGGGGGGGGGGAGGACATCTACAACAGGGCCGATTGAGAGTGGCTTTAGGAGTAAGCCCAAGAGGGGGAGAAACGGCATGGAGCACACATATTGCTTGCATACTCCCACAGAATCCCTTCCCCTGCCTGAAAAAAGCCCTTAAATGTTAGTCCCACGCAGCCAGTAATTGGTTCAACTCAACTGTCCGTGTTCCGGATTGCACCGTCCCCCCTCAAGGACCATGCAGCGCCTCAAATTTCCCCTTCCTCCAATAACGAGCGAAGGTGTGTCGCTTCCAGAGGAACGGTCTTCTTCTCAACTCGCAAAGGTAGTTTTGCGCCAAAAAAGCGATGCAATATAAGACACCGAGGATGCGGCCGGCGGCGCCGGGGAAATCGCCCGTATACTCTTCAGGGATTAAAACTAATTCTGGAATCCATGAAAACGTTTTTGTATGCCCCAAAAGGCAGTAAATAGGGGCCCACGCGATGTAGTACGAACCTCCCCTCCAAGCTCTAAGACCCGTACTGCCGTGACCCCTGGAATGTCAAGAAATTTCTTTGGAACAAGATTCACCTGATAACAATGAAATGAAAATAGGAAACGGATTATGACAACTTAGTGCTACATAACTCCCCAAAAAAGTCGTTGAAATCTAAACCAGTCATGTGTGATTTAAGAAATTAACTCGTTCACGGGGTGGATGCTAACGTAAAAGATGGCATGAAGATCTGCTATGAAATCGCAATTGAAGGCGTGAAAGGAATGTCCACCCGAAAAAGAAAGCACTAATTCATCGGCCTCCCCCACTTGAGTATCGGTAAGTGGCTTGGAGACGATAATCCATCGCAAGACGTACCGAGAAGGAAGCCAAAAAATAATTGCGTTTTGTATTGAATATAACGAACTTGGAAACTAGGGAGTAGAGCCGTTACGCAAAATTCCCCGCCGGGCCCCCCCCGAAATCATGGCTGTCACTAAAAACGTTGAGCGACGGGAACCGAAAATCTACAAAACCTGGGTTCTCGAAGTGCGTCCCACCCTAGGAGCCTCTTTTTCGGCTGCTTTACGGCGATGGGCCGCAGGAAAAACACATCTTCCTTACTCCCCGGCATCCACCCCCTAAAACTCTTGTCAATCTTGCCAGAGAGCGGTCGTTGCCAAGTAATGAGTAATGCCCGAAAACAACCGCCAACAAACGTCCCATGTTTCGATTCTACCACCTGCTACTATATACGTAAAAAGTCAAGAGGAGAAAACCGGCTGCGTTGAAAGCGATATACCCTTTCATATGAAAAGCGATCCGATGAGTGGTAGATGTGTACACCTCTGGGTGGGCCGGATGCCGCAAGGGGGGGGCCGGGGGGGCAAAGAAGCGGATCGCGAAGCTCCCGCGCGCTGGCAACTAGGCGCAGTTTTGGCGCCGCGCGCCAAGGCGCGACATGTCGCGTCTCCTCTTAACAGGCTGCGCCCGCTGCCTGTCGCTGCCTGAAAACTACTTCCAGCTGCAATGCACACTGTTCTTAAAGACTGTCGCCTTAAAAAGCAAAACGAGTCGGGATTGAATTGATGCGTTATTTTGTCCAAAAATTAGGCATGGAGTGGCAATGAGGAACATTAGTGAGGAGAAAAAGCAAAAAGCACCATTGAAAACACTAAATTTCCCTTGTGAGCCCGACCGTGGTATGATGGAGGAGACACAGCGCTCTGAGAGGAGAGGGAGACAAATGCGAGGATAAGTACGTAAGGGCCTAACGCCGAGAAGAACGCAGGACGTTGTTGATAAACTGCAGCATCGGCAGCACACCGCCAGTGCGGCAAAAAAGTCTTAAGCGCCGGGGTTATCTCGAGAACTTTTGAGTCGCGATAGTGTCCTGCATGCTGCTCTTGGAGACCCCTCTTCCTCACTCTAGAAGAGACTGGCTCTTGTGACCTAATCCCAACTCGTGGCTTTAAATGGGAAATGGGGTCAATTGTCGCTGCCCCAGTGTCTGAATTATAGACGATATACAATTCTTACCGCTTGTTCTAGCAGTTGTCCTAGTTGATCGCCAGGCGGAGTGCCGCGTATGCGTATTGTGCGGCGGCAAGTGAGAGATGTTTCGAATAAGGTTGACTCTCTGGCTTTGTAGATACTCTTATAACTACTTGTAGTCATTAATTGGACATAAAATAATTAAATACTAAAAACCGCAGATAAAACAGGTAAAGAACGCAGGTGATGTGGGAAATGTAACAGGGGGTCGGGGGGCCAAAAAAAAAGAGTCACTCCCACTCATATTCAAAACAGAATTAATTACACTTTGCCAAAACGAAACCGAATGAGCTCAATTGCATATCGAAGAGCACATTCTATTCTATCGAAAAACATTGCATAGTGGCCTTCTACACCGACGACACCAGAAGATTTTCCCACGGAAACATGGTTCGCGGTACGAGCTCAACGGGGTCGTCGAGAAACCATAGATGATTACGACGTCTCTGAAACGCTGGTCAAAAGCCATTTTGCATAGTCAGAGCTAGTGTCTCTAAGAAGTCATTCACCAGTTATCCGATTGAAGAATTTATGTAGCAGCTTCAGAATGGAGCGATTATTGTAGGCCTCCTTAAGCTCGACGGTGATGACAGATGACGTCATATTCTGGAGACGGTGAACGCAGCGAAGGTGGGCCTGATTCTGCTTATGGGGGGACATCTAAGGAATAATTTGCCGTATAACTCCCAATAACAGCGGCATCCTTTGCGACGAAAAGTTTGATGATATGCGCCATAGGCAAAGTGACTCTTTTTTTGCCCCCCCCCCCTGTATATGGTGTGAATCGGTTTGCCCGATTCCGCCATGTACGCAACTTTCATCCAAAGTCTCAGAGAGGCATTTAAATCATTTTATCTATATAGTACCTATTGATATTCAAGCAAGCAATTTTTTTGGTGTTGTGATTGTACGAAAGAGGTCCGCTTCAAGCTAACCCATTATGAGGGTATTTATTACTCTCATTATGGGTTAGCTATCTATCCCTGATTGTGATTTGATCCACGAATGGGGCACGTGTAGTGCAAAATGTTCGGCCTCTGCACTCATTCCCGGGTTTGACCAACCACAGTATTGGAAGAGAGGGTTGCTTTTGAAGAGATGAGTAAAAAGTGGGTAGAAAAATGAGCAAAAAATGCAGCACTAACGAAGTCACTAAATCATAAAAGCTTCATTAAAATACAAATCCGTTCGAAGATGCACAACCCAGGCAGTAAAGGATTCAACGAATAGAGTTTCAAAACCCTTGCGTGTAGGGCAGTTGACCGTTGGCAGCATACGATCCGCGGGTCGAAAATTTGCAAACGTGCTGCGGCTTGTTCGCAGTTCTTTCCATTGCGAACCTTAAACCTTGACTCTTTGAGTCCTCTCCAACTCTTGTACACGCCGCAACGAACCACTTCCTGCACCTGTTAGGCGGCGTTGTGAATGTCGATCTAGGATCAGATCTTGCATCAAAGGTGTGGGGACAAGGGATCTACAATGGTGTACCTTCTTTTGCAGCACGCGTGTTCCGATTATTTGGATGTTAAAAGGGAAATCTGCATACTGTAAAGAGGCCTTCAAGACACTCCAGTGGCGTTGTTGCTGCGAAAGACGCGCTTCTAACGATATGGGCAATTTCGGTGTCTTAGGCCGTATTGGCGTATTGGCCCCACTGCCAAAATGTGCCCAAACATACGCTCCCACTCATCTTTGCCCCTAACGCATAGTGGAAACGATCAGGGCAGAATGCTTTTTTCAAACGTGTATGGCATGGTTCCTGGCTCTATGTAGCCCGAGTGAGTCCCGGGTATTGCGAGGAATCGACAGTCAATATTCTGGTAAATTAGGCTCATAAGCCTCATATATATGCTCACAGGAGCATTTCGGTGAGATAGTTATAATCACCTACCGAACTGAGAAAGCTTTGTATTTCCAACAGATATTCCGCCGATGACCAGTCATTCTGTAAGAGTACGACCACGATTATACGCCAGTATTCGCAATCGCTGGTAGCGGTCCCGCTTACTGAAAATATTATTGAGTAATAATTGGTGAGTATATTTCTACGAGTGTTTTCCCGGCTCATGTCACAAAGGGACATCTACGAGAAGTACCACCTGTCTCAGAAATTACAAAACATGCATCACCTAGCCAGAGCCCGGCCTACGGTGATCGGCTTGTGGCTAGCCGATGCATGTTTTGTGGGCTTAGCGTGCATCGAAATGAAGGGGACTGACGACGAAAGAATTTGATTTGAAAACAACCTGGAAACAGGGGAAAATTGGTAAAGGTGTGATTGATAGGCCAGGAATTAGAGAGACCCATCATTGGTAGGCGCGGCTCCTACCCCACTGTCTCCAAAAAAGCGGTGCTTAATGAAAAAAATCAGAACTCGCTCAGAAGAAGGCTTACAGAGCAGGCAAAATTATTGTAAAGGAGGAATTCTAAGATGTTCACAGCATAAATGATGTGAGTGAAGGCTCGCCCACAGTGGGGCGGAGCGTATCCATAAGTGGACAGTGATTCCTACAAGTCCTCGTAATTCGTTCCCGAAAAGTCGAAAAGTCTAAGAAAGGGGAGGGGGAAGGATAGAGTTTAGGAAAAGAAGGAGAGGGTAAATTTTACGGTGGGGGGCGGCAGCAAGAAGTCTGCTACTAAACTTGTAATTCGGATCCAAGAAGCCCCAGAGACTGGAACAAAGTGAATAGAGGTTGGCAAGGAAGAAAAGGTCAAATGGTTATTCAGGTGGAATGTACGCTTATACGGGCGAGTTGGCAATAAATCTTATATAAATCGGTTCAGAGACGGCCCAAAGACCAGAAAAAAAGGTGGACAGAGGTTGACAAAGACCATAAGCCGTCGGGCGGGAGTGTACCGAAGTGAGCGGTCTTTGAGCTTCGTAATTCCAAGACGACCCGTAGTAGAAAAAAAAAAAGGCTATTAATAAACCTTCCACAATCATCTCACTGAATTAACAACCTTGTCGCTATAAATCTCTTCTACCACAGACCCAGTTTTCCCAAGAAAACACTAACCTCACATGAACAATACTGCCCTCGTGTACCATCGTATCATGGATAGCTCGATTCGACGGCACACCATGGCTCATAGAGGGGCAGCCGGAATCAGCTTCATTATTCCAGAAAATTAGATAAAGTATTAGAATAGAATTAAAGGCTCTGCATGAATTTTTGTGGGAGATATTACGGTCGTCCAATCAATATCTTCCCTATCACGTTAGGCTGCTTTCATACTTCGCATCGGTGCGGTCGGTGCACGGTGCCGACGGCGCCGACCGCACCGACAGTGTGAAGAGCGTCAATACGCGCTCTGGCGCATGACGCGTACGTTGGGCGCAGATCGCGCGCTCCGATCGATAATCCTGGTTTTGGTGTATTTCTTGTCTTTTTCGATGTTTTTTTTTTGCGCCGTGTTGCTTTTATTCGTGTGTTATCTCTCATACTTATTCTTTTATGCT